TTCAAAAATAAAGGGGGGTCTTATAATTATGAGACACCCTGTATATCAAAGAATATTTAGAAAAAAAAATGTTCGTCTATCTGCCAGATTAGGTAGAATAGAAGTGTATCTTGACTCGTCTATCGAGTGAAACGAAAGGCTATTTATCTATTTGACTAAGAAGAAAATTCAAGACAGACGAGTGAATAAAAAAAAATCCATTTATATAGAACAAAGAACACAGAAATTCATTGACATCGAATAGTACTAAGCGTGTCTTTCTTTCAATGTATGTACAATAGAAAGTAGATAACTGATAATAGTTGTGTGATAATGCATAGCATGAATCTCTCTCTCTCTCTCTTTTTCGTTCTATATTTTCGTATATAAACATATATATCTAAAGAAAGTGTACATGTGCCTAGATTTCGGTTTATGTATACTACATTCAACAATAAGAATAAAGAATAGAATTTAAAGAAGAAATAAAATCAGCAGATGACCTTATTGAATAATGTTCATCCCTGGATATCATAATGGAAGCATATAACATTCGATAGAAAGTTTATTCAAATCCAATGACATTAGGATTTGATATATTTAAACAATAATCATAAGCTGTTTTCACTATCACAATGTTGATGCTTTCTATTGTATGAAATTTTCAAACAACTGTTTTGAATATTCTCTTTTCAAAAATAATTATTGTCTATTTCAAAATATAATATCCTCTACTGTTTTTTGAATAACTCGAGAACACCAACAAGAAGACATGAAAATGACCTGCCATCTAGATGAAATTTTGATTTTAACCTTTGATTTACATAGAGAAACTTCAAATCGATAGTTCAAGATATAATGTGTTGCCTTACTTTTCATTACATTTCTATCGAAATGTCAAGCTATTATGATAATAAGTGAGAAAACTTAGTAAAAAATTAGCAAACTTCTCTATTATTTGCGCATGCAAACGCATGATTCAATTTGCTCAACGTTTTAATGTAATAAGAGAGTCAATTTGCATTGTATTTTGAACTATAGATTTGAGGTCTCTCTATCTAAATCAAAGGTCAAAATCAAAATTTCATCTAGATGGCAGATCATTTTCATGTCTTCTTGTTGGTATTCTCGAGTTATTCAAAAAACAGTGGAGAACATTATATTTTGAAATGGATAATAGTTACATTTTCCTATGCAATTAATGTTATGCGAAAAAAAACAGAAACGAAAAGTGAGTGCAGCGCAAAACGAGAAAGTGATACGTAGGAAATAGAAATGAACAGTGCTCTATAATTTATATTTTTATGAGAATATATCATTATAAGCACTAGAACGATACTGTTGTCATTTTGTTTGAGCTCTTATTGTTTAATACAGATAGATCTCATTTTCGACGAACTTTTATTTGATATAAAACTTATTGTTGATTATTCATAAGCTTCGAAAGATTAAACAAGTTATTCAATTTCATTTGTCGAATGGGTTATTGTTTTCATTATACGAAAAGAAATCAATGTTTTAGTAATCAATCATATACATAGTTAAGTACGTATCAATCTGTAAGAAGTGATGAATATTCTAAGAAACGCATAATGAACTAAAAGAGACAAAGCTAAAGATCTCATTACGACTAATCTCACAAATATAGTATTTTCAAAATCTATAATTCATCTTTACACCTATTAGCATGAACAATACATATCCGATTACTAATGAAATAGTTTCGTAAAACAAAACAAAAACAATAACACTTTTATAATAATAATCATATGATTAGTCTTTCTTTTGTTCTTAAAAACAAAATGATAAAATGATTATTTTACTTATGTCAATATTATTAGATAGAATAAAATGATACACAAGAAAAAAACAATGTAAAACAGTTTTAATTTTTTGTCTTTTTTCTTTTCTTAATACGAGATATAGTTTTAAATTTGAACACAAGCACATAATGTCGGTGGACAATGTACAGCACATAAATGCAAACACCAATGTTCGATACCAACTATTGGTTTAAGAACTTCATTAGTTGGATAACAACGACGTGTTTTATTATTTTTATTTATTTGATTAAGATATTCTTTTGATGGATGAAGTGGAAATATAGCATGCATCGTCGTTGCTATAGTCGTCGTCGTCGTCGTCGTCGGTTCAGTGGTAGTTGTGGTTGGATAGGCAAACATAGGGAAATGTTCGATGCCCGAAGGAAAAACAAACGAATCAAAATATGGAAAAACAAATAATGGTTCATGTGTTGTTGTAGTAGTTGTTGTTGTTGATGAAGATAATAATAAATTATTATCCTCAGGAGCAATACTAATATCAGCACAACTGAACAATAACAACAACAAAAAAAAAATAAATTCAATTTTGAAATAAATATGAAAGAAACAAAAAATAATTACTTGTAAAATTCTTCTTGATGACCACAACCAAGACATGATTTTCCTGTCTCAATATCTATACCCCAACTATTTCCAGCATGATAACGCCATTGTAATACACAATGTGAACATGACAAACCATCGGGCAAATGAGCTCTATGAAATTAAAGTCAAGAAAAAACAAAATCAATTATAAATATAACTAGTAC